GGCACCCTGGCTTTCCAGAGGGGCCCTCCATTTGGGGTGGGTGTGAGCCCACAGCACTTCCCTGAGGAATCCAGACCGGCCTGGAAGGGAGGTCAGGATGAGCCTGGCCTCAGCAGGTGGCTGCCTTTGCCAAGCAGAGCGTCCCAGCAGCACCCAGACACCGTGGCAGCCCAGTACATGCCGTCCTGCGGGCACAGTCAGGGGCTGCGGCTGTGGGGGGATTCAGCATTTCACAGGACAGGGGCCTGCACGAAGACGGATGTCTGCAAGAGCGCCTGGACGTGAGGAGCATTCACAGCCGGCTTGCTTTCACGTTCTATGGTGAGGCTCCTTCCCCTCACAGCGGACAGGACCTGTCTGTGCTGTGCCTCCCCCATCCCTTGGAAAGCATGCTGAACCCTAGGGCGGGTGGGGCAGGGAAAACCCAGCCTGGCCTTAAACACTTCCTGCAGTCCCTTGGGGCTTTGGCCAGCTGCCCAGCGTGTCCACTCCAATTACACATCTGGAGCTGGGGACGCCACCACAGGAGGGGCTCCGGGTGCCGTGGGAAGCACTGGGAGTTGACTGAGCTACAATTCCATGGGTTCTGGGACCTTCACAAGCCCCTGCTCTGCCTGGGGCCACCTCATCCCGCTGGGTCTCCTGGAGTCGATGTCTGTTGGGAGCCATGTCTAGCTATCCCTGAAAGGTCTGACCATCTCCTTCCGCACTGAACAGTCACCCTGGCAAAAGGCCGTTAAGGGCCTTTGGGGAATGCTGGGAGAGAGATAAGAACAGTAAGATTTTGGAGCACAGTGGGTCCCCCCTCAAGGGGCCTGGGTCTGCAACTGGTTCAAATTTGGGACTTGACTGAGGAGCCTGGACTTCGGAATTTTTAATATAATTTTTTTCAGACAGGCTCTCGCTCTGTTGCCCACGCTGAAGTGCAGTGGTATAATCATAGTTCAGTGCAGCCCTGAACTCCTGGGCTCAAGCAATCCTCCTTCCCCAGGCTCCTGAGTGGCTGAGACTACAGGCACACACTGTAATGGCCACCTAACTTGTTTCATTTTTTTTATTTGTATTTTTAGTAGAGAGGGTTTCACCACGTTGGCCAGGCTGGTCTCGAACTCCTGGCTTCAAGTGATTCGCCTGCTTCAGCCTCCCCAAATGCTGGGATTACAGGCATAAGCCACTGTGCCTGGCCCAGCTAATTTGTTTTTCTTCCTTTTTTTTTTTTAGATGAAATTTCATTTGTGTCGTCCAGGCTGGAGTGCAATGACTGAATCGTGGCTCACTACAACCTCTGCCTCCCAGGTTCATGCGATTCTCCTGCCTTGGCCTCCTGAGTAATAATGATTACAGGTGCCCACCACTACACCAGGCTAATTTTTTATTTTTTTATTTTTAGTAGACAGGGTTTCACCACGTTGGTCAGGCTGGTCTTGAACTCCTGACCTCAGGTGATCCACCTGCCTCAGCCTCCCCAAGTGCTGCGATTACAGGCATGAGCCACTGTGCCCAGCCTGCTAATTTGTTTTTCTTTCTTTCTTTCTTTCTTTCTTTCTTTCTTTCTTTATAGACACAAGGTCTTCTTTGTTGGTCAGGTTAGTCTGGAACTCCGGGCCTCTGGCGTCCATACCTGGCTTCCCAAAGTACTGGTAATAGAGGGGTAAGCCCCACACCTGGCCTGGTATTGATTGGCGTTAGACTTCTGTTCACCCGACTGTGGGCCGGAGATGGCTTATCCTGCCTACTCCCCTCCCCTTACCTGGAGAGCTTCTTAGGGCTGGGAGGCCGTGGGAAGTTGTGGGTACGACGCACCTTCCAGCCAGAGAACCAGCAGCCTCGGCTTCTCCAATGGAAACACAGAGGCCACTTTGCCATGGGCCAGACTGCAGTCTACTGGATGGCAGTGAAAAAGCCCACCCTCCCTGGGAAATGTCTCCCCCTCACACCGTGCCCAAGGTTGTCTGGATGTGGCTTAGGTGGGAGAAGCAGGGGGCGGGAGCAGGCGCTTGCCTCCCTAGCGCCATGTGCCCTTGGGCGGGTGAACGCTGCCCTCTGGGAGGGGCCACCAGCTGCTGCAGTTGAGACAGCAGGCAGACCGTGGTGGGTGAGGGCAGCCAGACATGAAAGGGAGTTTGAGGCTGGGAGATTTGTGGAAGAGGGTGTGGGAGATTTGTGGGAGGGAGTGTGGTTCCCCTTGGGTCCAGGTAGGCTGAGGGGACCACCTCGGTCTGTCACCATCATCCCAGGTGCAGGGAGGTGAGAGCTGGGCCAGTCTGCCAGACCTCAGGGGTATCTGTGGCATTACCCCCTGCATAGGGCACTGGGCCCTACCACCCATGTGCCCTGGGTCCTGTCAGCCACATGCTCTGGGTCCTGATAGGCTCCTGGCTGGGCGGGGGCTTCAAGTGGGGGTTTGGTGGGGCCACTCAGGTCTGGCCTGTCAGTCCCACCACCACCGAAAGCTGCCAGGAGCTGATGGCCTCCCTCCTCTGGGGAAACAGCAGGGCCCTTCCTGAGTCCATGGATGTTGGATGTTCCTTCTCAGCACCCTCGTGCACCAAATGTGTTCCCAGAGTCCAGGGCTGGGACTAGAGACCCCTCGCCCTCAGCCGGCCAGGCAGCTGCCTCGTTCCTCAGGGACCACTACGCTGCCTGGGACAGCTAACCGGGAGAGCGCTTCACGCCCAGTGGACGGGAGCTGTGTTGCCAGAGGCTTGTGATGCATGTTTACAATCTCACGCCTCTTCTTGGAGGCAATCTCCATGCCTTTAAGCCTGTGATCGCCTGCCTGCTCTCCTCTGCTGCCTCTTGCCTCCAGGTGCTAGAGCTGGACCTTGGGGGCTCACTGGTGCCCACGGTTGTGCAGCACGTGGGCCTCCCCGGGGTTGCTGCAGCCTGGGTGGCTGGGCTGCCGTCTGCCCTCCGTTTGCTGAGCCAGCCCCACTTCAAGGGAGGCGGCTCATCCCCTCATGAGCAAAAGAGGACAAATGAGTGCCCTCTCCCCACCCCACAGGAGGGGGTCCTATGGATGGGGAAGGATGTGAGGCCAGTCACACTCAGTGGAAAAGCAGAACCAGGGGCCAGGGCTCTCATACAGGACATCACACCTTAGAGAAAAGCCACCAGTCACTGGAGTTGGTTGGGTCTCAGACGGGGAAACTAAGGCCCAAGAGGGAGTGACTGCCGGGCCCAGTCTCCTCCCTGCCCCAGCCTTACCCTGCCCCACATGTACCTGGAGCTCACGTGGCAAGCTGGCCAGGATGGACTCAGGAAGGGCATGGTCACCAGGGTGGCCCACGTGGCCAGGCTTTCCCAGGGAAGCAGGGCCAAGAGCCCAAGAGGTGGTGAGGGTGGCTCAGAACCCTCATGGGGGCCATTTTCTGCTGTTTTCTTCTCCTGAGGACTCCTCATATCCACCTGTCACTGCCACAGTCAGGTCGCTGATGGGCAGGGTTTCACAGCCTTCTGGGGCATTTGCTCTTCCCCCCGGGTCCTGCGGTCACTGTGCCAGAATCAGCCCCTGCAGACGCAGAGGTCACTGCCTAGAGAGGCCTTCCTTCCCGGGGGCAGTGCTGGTCCCGAAGCCCAGGTCTCTGAGGCCCCTGCAGCCCGTGGCCGGGCAGGCTCGCTGGCCCTAAGTGTTCTTGGTCTTGGCAGCCTGGCCTGTGGGGGGGGGCACCACCCCGCACTGACCAGGGTCTGCAGGTGGCAGGTGAATGACATGCCTCCACCAGCCTGGATCCGGAACCCGTTCTTGTGTCTCTTGCTTTGCGGCACAGAGGCCCCATCCAAAGAACCTCAAAGCCTTCTCCTGGACGTTCCGTCTGGAACGTGTGCACCTGTGTCCTAACGCCAGCTCTGGGTCCTCTGACACCATCCTGCTTCAGAAGCGGCTCTGAATCCGCATCAGCAGCGGGGACGAGTCTCTGGGCGGCGACTCTGCCCTTCTAGCTGCCTGGGCGTGCACCTTCCATCCCAGGAGTCCTCTTTCTCCCCAGTCCCGGCCAGGAAACAGGAGAAGGGCGTCGCCCGATGGCTGGTGTGGCAGTGTCTTAGCCGCTAGCTCCCCTCCCACAATTTAAGAATGGGGAGACCACCAGGACCCCAAAAGATAGAGCGACTCACCTCTCAGCCCCAACAGGCCACGTCGCTTCATCCCCAGGCCCAAAGCAGCCACCGTGCCCGCCAGAGAGGAGCGCTTCCTTGGCCCCGCTCTTGAGGGGGTTAGCAGGCGCAAAGGGCGCAGGCATCGCCGGCTAGCCCGCCTCCTCCTCGCCAGGCTTCCCCCAGGGCAGCAGCGCAGCGCCCAACTCGGGGTAGACGCCCGGGTCCTCTGCATCCCCGACCGTCCCAGCCTCGAGCCCCGCCGGCAGCTAGCCCGGCCGCCAACGCCTCCCCTCCCCTCCCCCTCGGTCCCGCCCCCGGGGCCACCCCAAGCTCCGCCGGCAGCGCCCCCAACGCTCTACCCGCTTCCCCGCGCCCGCCCCCGGCCCCCCGAAGCCGTCCCGCGGCGGCCGCCCAGAGTTCTCGCCCGCCCCGCCCTCGGTTCCCACCGCTCTCCGCCCCTCCTTCCTCCGTCCCCGCGGGCGGGGCGCGCCTGAGACCCGCGCCGGGAGAGGCGGCCGGGGCCCCGCGTGGCCAGGAGGGGCCGGCGGGCGGGCGGGCGCGCGCGCGGCTCGGGTTTCGGCCCGCCCCCGGCGCCGGCGTGATCCCCTCCCGGGCGCGGGGCGGGGCCGGGCCCAGCTGGCCGCGCTCCGGGCGCTATAAGAGGGCGGCGGCCGCGACGCGCCCTGCGCGGAGCTGGGAGCGCGATGGTCGGCCGCCGCGCCGCGGCAAGATGCTGGATGGGCCCCCGCTGGCGCGCTGGCTGGCCGCGGCCTTCGGGCTGACGCTGCTGCTCGCCGCGCTGCGCCCTTCGGCCGCCTACTTCGGGTAGGTGCCTTCCGCGGCCGGCGCGCACGGGTGGGCGGGGGCGGCAGAGCCGGGGCGGGGGCGTCGGAGTCCCGGGGGTGGCTCGGGCCGGGGCGCGGCGGGGCCGCCGGGTTGCCTGGCGCTGTGTGTTTGCCGCGCGCGCGTCGCTCCGTCCGCTCCGCGGCGGGGCACGGTAGAGAGGCGGGCGGACCCGTCGGGCTTGCGCGGGGCCGCCGTCCTCCGTGACCGCGGAATCGTGGTGGTCGCCGCCGCGGTGAGCGGGACCGCCTCTCGATTAGGGACTGGGATCAGGTCCCGGCTTCTTGGGGCCGCCCTGTGCTTGCCAAACGGCTGGAGCCTGAGTCTTCGGCCGCAGCCCATCGCCCACCTAGCAGCTCCCCGCCTTTCTCTCCTCGAGAAGTTATTTAACAGTAACAAAAATACGTACAAAATCCAGATGTTCCTTGCGCTGAGCCCCAAAGGGAGAAAGAAAGAAAAAAAAACCCTCCAAGCTGGAGGAATTTGTTTTTCTTGCGCTTTGCTTCTGACGCTGTGGCGTGGACCCCTGCCCGCGGGAGCGCGTCTGCAGGACCTGGCCTGGAGCGCAGGGCCCGGCCGGAGCGTCCCGCGGTGTCACTGCCGGTGCTCGCGTGTGTCTGCAGCGGCGCCTTGCCGGGCTGTCGGCGCGTTTCTCTGCCTTTCCTTCCCTTCCCCCCTCCCAGGTCGGGGATGCCCAGCCCAGCGACCTTATAGGGACCTCGCCGCGCTTCGGGCACGCCGAGGTGCAGGGTGGCACCGTGCGAGGCAGCGCCCCCGGCCTCCCCGCCACTCTCCCACCTCTGCCCCGGGCGCCGCCCCTGGGAGCCCTGGTTGGCCTTCGGATCCCAGCCCCCGACCTGGGCGCCCTGGGCCGCTCCCTGGGCCGCCGCCCTCCGCCGGTCACCTGTTCCCGGCCCTCTGGCCCGAGCGCCGGCGCGAGGCTGCCTGGCCGGCAGAGGGCCCCGTTGGTCCAGGAATCTGGCACCCGCCAGGGTGGGGAGAGGCCGCCTGGGCCGAGGAGCCCTGCAGGTGTATCCTGTTCTCAAAGAAAATAAAATATTTTCATGGGAAACTTTCCCTTTGTGTTTTTCTTTCTCCGCCTTTTTTCTCTCCGTTCCTTTCTTCTGGGTCGTCTTCCAGGGTCAGCTCGGTGTCTCCGTTCCCTGGGGCCCCCACCCACAACCCTCTCCTGGCTCCGACTGTGGGTACGGCCCTGGGCCGGGCTGGCACGCCACGGCACGCCATCTGTGCAGCCCGTAGCCTCACCCGGGAAGGCAGAAGGGAGGGCCACAGGTCCGCGGTGAGTCACGGGGGCCTTGCCAGCCAGCTGTGCTTCCCTGCTCTCCGGCCCAGCGGAGGCTCTGCTCCTCTGGCTCGGGACACACCCTGGGCTTGTCTGGGCTGGGCGGCTTTGTCCCTGCTGTGATCCGATTCCTGGCGACGGGGTGGGGCTGGGTCCTGGCCTCTCCTCCTCTGATCTGTCTCTGGGCTCTGCGCCCCGGTGGAGGTCAAGGGGCTCTGCTGCTTTAGCTGAGTGCGTGTGTTTCAGCTCTCTTGCTTTCTTGCTGTGGTGGCTTCTCTGGCCAGGCCCCCTGGGCCCTGCTTCTTAGCTGCAAAGGGCCCATCAAGGGAGGATTCCTGAGTCCTGTCCTGAGGGCAGTTCTCCACATAGCCGCCATGTGGGAAGTCCAGAGGGCAAAGCCTTCAGGGACAGCTGGCATTGCAAGAGGGCAGCTAGGACTCTGTTTGACGGAGAATGAGCGCCTTCCCGAACCAGGGGCTGGGGAGGCGTCCTGGGTCAGGGCAGGCCAGGCTCCCCAACTCTAGTCAGCTCCTGAGGTTGGGCTGTGGAGGGGAAGAGGGCACAAAGGGCTCCAGGCTGGCTTGTGTGTAGAGAAAGGCCTCTCCTGCTGGTTGGGGTCTGGGACTGTGGCTCCTGGCCCAGCGAAGGCAGGGGTGGCCCAGGGCATTAGAGGCCAGGTGGAGCTGGATCGGGGCCAGTGTGGCCCTCCCCAGCTCCAGTCCAGGGAGCAGGGAGAAGGGGCTGGGATCTAGGGCCTTTTTTTCCCTTCCCCCCTCTTGAGAGCTCTGCCTGGCACGGAGGCTCCCGGGCAAGAACGCGGCTCCAGTTACAGCCCAGGAACCCGGAGAGGAGAGCCTGGCCTGGGGGAGGGTCATGTGGGCCCACGGGAGTCCTCGCTGCCCCCTCCCTGAGCTGCAACCCAACCCTGGCCGGTGCCTGCTGCCCTCCTGGAAGCCTCTGGCCACCAGGCTGGACCCCCTGTGGGGAAGAGGCTCCCTTGGCCTGGCCCTGCACCTCCGCCTGGCTAGCAGGTGGAGTTTCCATCTGGTTCTCCCAGGGCCGTGTCCCCATGCCTCCTTGCTGGCTTGGCCCCAAGCCCTTCTAGACAGAGGGGTAAGCAGGGAGGCCAGCCTGAGGCCATGGGGAGGGCTTGGGGTGCAGACTCAGACCCTCTCCTGAGGCTGCAGCGAGAGGGTAGGCCTGGGGGTGGCCTGAGGACATGGCTTGTCCTCTGTTGGGAGGCCCCTCTGGCCTCACCCTTGCTGGGTTGTGGTCTCAGGTAAGATGGTGGGTCCGGATTAGACGCTGGGGCTGCTCCTCGGCTGGGCCCACACACTGGATGTGGTGTCGGGGCTGGGTCTGGGGGCTGTTGGTGCCCAGTGGGGCTTGAACCCCTGCCCCTGGCTGGTGGGCTGCCTGGCTCCCTGGCACTGTGGCCTTATCCTTAGGGGTCCCGGCTAGCTTGGGACAAGGGCAGCAGCTTCCCACGGGGGCTGTTCTCTAAAGGCCCTGAGGCTGTTTTGTGGTGGTGGCCTTGTAGATAACTCAGGAAACATTTGCAGGCCACTCTGGGGGCCGAGATGGTGGGAGGCCCGGCCCTGCCAGGTTGTCCCCTTCTCTGGGCCTCAGTAGCCTGGAGGCCTGCCTGGAAGAGGCATGAGCAAGGCTGGCACTGAGGGATTGTTGAGGTGCCCCCGGCTGTGGCTCCAGAGCCAGCCGTCGGGACTGGAAGGTGCTTGGAACTGATCCAGAGCCCAGGCTGAAGGGAGTGACCACTGCGAATCAGGGGCCCGGTGGCTTTTGTTATTGGATGTAACTCACGTCCTGTGAAATCCACCCTTTTAAAGTACACATCCCCGTGGTTTTGAGTACCTCATTTGCCAGGCCTTGCAGCTCTTACCACTGTTTGATTCCAGAACATTTTCCTCACCCCAGAAACCTCATACGCATTAGGCGGTCGCTGCCATCCCTTCCCCCAGTCCCTGGCAAGCACTCGTCTGTGTTCTGTCTCCATGGGTCCGCCTGTCCCGGGCGTTTCCTAGAAATGGAATCCTGTGCGGTGTGGCCTCCATGCCTGGCTGCTCTCACTTAGCATCACCGCCGTAGCACGCGTCCTGTCGCCTTCCTTCTTATCACTGAGTCAGACCCGACTGGATGAACCTCAGAGATTTCGTCAGTTGAGGGACATCTGCACCGTTTCCACCATTTGGCTCTGATGGGTACCGTTGCTGTGAGTGTTGGTGTGTGGTTATGTGTGTGTGTTTTCGGTTCTTGGGGTACCTAGAAGCAGAGCTGCTGAGTCACGTGGAAGTCTGCTGTTATGTCTTTGTTTTTGTTTTGTTTTATTGAGACAGGGTCTTGGTCTGTCACCTGGGCTGGAGTGCAGTGACGTGTGCAGGCTTATTGCAGCCTCCACCTCCCAGGCTCAGCCTCCTCGCACCTCAGCGTCCCAAGGAGCTGGGACCACAGGCACAAGCCACCACGCCTGGCTCGTTTTTTTAAGCTTTATTTTTTGTAGAGACAGGGTTTTGCCATGTTGTCCAGGCTGATTTTGAACTTGTGAGCTCAAGTGCTGGGGTGACAGGCGTGAGCCCCACTCCCCAGCTGCGTTGAGGTTTTTGAGGCCCTGCCAAACTGCCTTCTAGACACAGTGTTTGAGGTTTCCACCAGCAGCTCACGAGGCTCGTTTCTCCACTTCATCGCCGACGCTGGTTTTCTGTTTTATTTTCTCCTGTGGCCGTCCCAGTGGGTGTGGAATGGCACCTTGCGTGGCTCTGACTGCGTTTATCAGGTGGCCAGTGGCGCTGAGCACACTTTCCTGGCCTCGTGGGCCGTGGGTCTCCTTTGAAGAATGTCCTTGCTGCTCCTCTGCCTGTTTTTAGTGCGTGGGGGGCTGCTTGTCTTTCTGCTGTTGAGTTATGAGAGCTCTTTCCATATTCTGGATCTCTCCTTGGACTGAGGAGAGCCTCACCCGTCGACCCTGTGGGCACTGTTCCCTGACTGTTGCACCAGGTGCGCGGGGGCAGCTGGGACGTCCCCCATTTCCTAGAGCCTGGTGTGGGGAAGTTGTGGGTGCTCAGGGGACTGGCAGAGGAGGCTTCGGAGAGGCTACTGTCAAGGGTGTGGGGAGGGGGCCGTGTTTCCCACATTAGTGCCAACATCAGACCCCACAGGGTCCAAGAGGGAGGCCACCAGCTGTGGGCGAGACAAGCCCGGCTGGTCCCATGGCTCTGACTCCGAGTACCAGGCCTGGGGCACAGCTGGCTGCCTGGATGAGGGCACCTGCAGGTCTCTGGAGGTGCCAGAGAAGGGGGAGTGGGCCTGAAGTGTGGAATCAGAGGGCTGTGTGGTGGGCAGGAGAACCCTCGGAAGGGGACATCTGGGGAAGCCCTTGGCCGGGCCTGGGGTGGGTGCTCTGGGTGCCACAGGCATGGGCTTTGGAGTAGCTGAGAGCACAGGCTGGGGTTTGGGCAGGTGCTGTCCTGGAGACCCCCCCCCAACCACTTAGGACACCCCAGGAAGCATGTGGGGCTTGGCCTCAGGAGGAAAGGCCACACAGAGTGCTCTGGAAGGCCAGGAGGGCGGGGAGGAAAGGGGTCAGGCGGCTGCCTTGTTTTGAGAGACCAGAGAAGTGGCTTAGTGGGACAGACCTCAGCAGAGGGCTTTGGGGGTGGGCTGGGGAACAGGAGGGCTCCCTGGGGACTTCTCAACATGGAGAGGAGAGGACGGGGCAGGGGATAATGGGGGCATTTCTCCAGGACTCATGGCCTGCACAGGGACCCAGGTGGCCAGCTTCCCAGCCAGTGGGGCCACAGGTGGGAGGGCCTGGAGTGGCAGCCTGATGGCCCTTGCAGGCTCTGAGGCCCTTCCTCCCTCCCACTCCGTACCCAGGGGCCTTGGAACCCCCAGCCCCTCCCTGCCCCACCCGCTTGGGGTCCTGGCTCCCTGGAGGCTGTGGAGGGTGTGTGGTGAGGACAGAGCAGCAGCCCCTGGCCGCCCACAGCTGAGGAAGCAGATGTCCTGCCCACAGCCGGCGGCTGTCTGGACAGGGAGACAGCTGGCCTCATCTCGTTCCCGCCTGCTGCTGGCTGCAGACGCCCTAGTGCCCACCCTGGCCTCAGACCCCCCGACGGCTGCTGGGGTGCCCCAAGGCTGTGGGTGCCCCACTCCGGGGTTTGGCCATCGAAGAAGCGTGTGGGTGATTCTTCCCATAGGAAGGAGTGCACGGATTCCTCCCCATGCTCTGGGCCCTGGGGCGGGAGGGGAGGAGGTGATGCCTGTGGGAGGGTGGGGCAGCAGGAAGCGGCACCTGTTGACAGGCCTCCATGGGTCTCCCGCCTGATCCCAGGGCTCCCTTTGTGCACTGTGCTGGGCGGAGGGGTCAGGACCGGCGCAGTTGTCTGGGAGTAGGGCAGCCCCTGCAGCAGCATCCGACTGGGGACTGAGCCAGGCCCCCGGAACCCAGAAGGTGAGCCGCGGGTGGGGGTTCCCCAGACCTCAGCCTTCTGGCTAGAAGTTGATCTCTGATGGGGCTGACCCTGAGGGACAGGTGAGGCCCTGGGGGAACAGCAGTGCCATTTGCCCTGTGCCCCAGGGCTCACCTGACCCTCGGCCGCTTCTTGCATGAAGCCCAGTGACTGCCAGACGCCTCCTTCACTACCTGTGCGCCTAACGCTGGGGTCGGCCAGGAGGGTCCCCGGGGATCTCCTCAGACACCTCGTTCCCTCCCTGGTCACTGAGCTCTGGGATTGGCCAGGAGGGTCCCATGGGGTCTCCTCCAAGCTGCATTCTGTGACCCCTCAGCCCAAGACTCCCTCAAGCCCGAGCTCCCCCTACCAGGAGGATCTGTGTCACTCATTCACCTGAAAGCCCAGCCCCGGTTCCTATGGGACCCTGACTCTGGCAGGGCTGTGTCTACATCTGCTGTCAGATGTGATGGAGTGCCAACCTGGCCACCAGGCTGCTGCAGCTTCCCGTGTGTGGACGGTGGGCCACGT